AGTGCGCTTGGCCCGCGCAGGCGGAGGCGTGGGAGCTGCACCCTGTAGAGAAAGCAGCACTGGAGCCCAGCATGGCCTTTCCCTCGCTGTCCAGAGGGGGCGCTGCCCGCCAGGCTGGCGGGAGGTGGCATGGGACTTCCCTGGCCATCTGCCGTCCCCAGCTCTGGAAGGGACACGCCACAGCATCCCGGGTGCTCCCCCACGCTGGCACCTGGGCCTGTGCTGTGTGTGTCCCCGGTACATCCCAGGGGCTGCGGAGCGCTTCCTCACTACGCTGTTTCCTCGGTGCCTTTTTCACGGCTGTTTAAGTATCCATCCCACCCAGGCACAGGCTTTCATTCAGCGATACCCTGGTTTGATCAGAAGCCTACGCTTCTGGTGGCATCTGTTGTCATCCTAAGCTGCACCCACGGGCATCCACCGGGCGTCTGACGGGTGCCGGGCACCACGCTGGGGCCAGAACCGAGGGTGCTCAGTCCATGCAGGTTGAAGAACCTCAGGGCCCCTGACCACCCTGTCCTCGTCTCCTTTCAGACATCGATAAGGTCATGATCAACCTCAAGACGGAGGAGTTTGTTCTGGACACGAACACACTCCAGGCGCTGCAGCAGCTCCTCCAGTGGGTGGGAGACTTTGTGCTCTACCTGCTGGCCAGCCTGCCCAACCAGGTGCGCGTGCGCAGTCCCTCGTAGCCCCGCCCCTTGTAGCCCCGCCTATCCTTTAAGTCCCACCCACAAATCTCACTGTGGCCCCGCCTTTATCACCACCTTTCCCACCAAGGCCCCCTGCGGTCCTGCTCTCCTCTGCTGCCTCTCACCCTAAGTATGAGGGGTGCACGGTGGTTCGGAGCTGTGAAATCCCAGCCCTGGGGACAGAGGGAATCCGGCTGCACTGACCGGGCAATCTGGAGGTGTCCCTAGCCCCCACATACCGCTGTCAGGAGTAGCCAGTGTCCCCCGGACTGCATGCTCACTGTGACGACTGCCTCACAGGGTTCCCCGCTGCGGCCGGGCCACAGCTTCCTACGGGATGGCACCTCGCTAGGCATGCTTCGGGAGCTGATGGTGGTCATCCGCATCTGGGGTCTGCTGAAGCCCAGCTGCCTGCCCGTGTACACAGCCACGTCTGACACGCAGGACAGCATGTCCCTGCTCTTCCGCCTACTCACCAAGCTCTGGATATGCTGTGAGGCACCCTGCCTTCTGCTCTCATCTCCCCACCAAAATACAAGCCCTAGTGGGGTCCCCCTACCATAGCAGAAGATCCCATAGACAGAAGCAGCTCAAGGCCTGTTTTAGAAAGGAGGTCACTGGAGCCAGAGATTAGGAGGGACTTCCCAGGGCCACCCAGCAAAGCAGGCCAGAGCTGGCCCTGGACCTGGTGCACCCTGGTCCCCTGCACAGGTCCATGTGTGTCCTAACAGGCAGTGGGTGAGGTTCCAGGCTGGCCACCACAGGTGACGATGTCTCCGCCCTGCAGGCCGCGATGAAGGGCCAGCAAGTGAGCCAGACGAGGCCCTGGTAGACGAGTGCTGCCTGCTGCCCAGCCAGCTGCTGGTGCCCACGCTGGACTGGCTGCCCGTCAGCGATGGGCTGGTCAGCCGCCTGCAGCCCAAGCAGCCTGTGCGCCTGCACTTTGGCAAGGCACCCATGCTGCCTGGCAGCACCCCCACCTCACAACTGGACGGCCTGGCCAGGTGTGCCCCGGCCCCGGGTTTCTGCCGTGTGGGGATGTGCATGCTTGCCCCTCCTCTGTGCTGCCCCAGGCTGTGCGTGCATGGCTGCTCCCCTCCTGGCTTCTTCCTTTGGGCCTCGGGCTGTGGCTCAGTGGTGAGCACTTGCCTAGCACGCACCAAGCCCCGGGGTTCCTCCTTCCCAAGGACCCAGGGCCTTTGCACAGGATCCCTGCACCGTAGGGGTGCGTGCCCAGGTCTGCTGACCCCCATCTTCACTGCACAGTGGTCCTGAGGTGGTGGTGGCAGCCACCCCGTCTGCAGGGAAGCAGCTTCAATTTAGTTGTATCTGACTGGTGGTGCACCTGTCATCCCAGCACTCTGGGAGGCTGAAGCAGGAGAATTTCTAGTTAAAGTCCAGCTTGGGCAGCTTAGTGAGACCCTGCCTCAAAATTTACAAAAGGGCTGGGGTGTAGCTCAGTGCAGAGGTCCTGGGTTCAGTCTAGGGTACTCAAAAAAGGCAAGGTCACTTGGACATTTTTTATAGCCCGGCGGTCCATACCAGCCTCCCGCTTGGATGGTGGCAGAGGTGCTGGGCGGCCCCCCTGGGAGCAGGCTCTCTGTCAGGGCACCAGCCCGCCCGGCCCACCAAGGCCACCACCCCCGTAGACAGAGGCCCTGCCCTGGCTGTCCCCACCTCCCCTCACACCAGCCCCCCCCCCCAGGGTTCCGGGCCAGCCCAAGATCGACCACCTGCGGCGGCTGCACCTGGGCGCCTACCCCACCGAGGGCTGCAAGGCCTGTGCCAGGTACGGCGGGCGCCGGGCTGTGGGCGAGGCCCAGCCTGGGGGCGGCCCCCGCTCACCTGAGCCCATCCTGCCGCCCGTCCCTAGGTGTGGCTGCGTCACCATGCTCAAGTCCCCCAACAAGGCGACCGCAGTGAAGCAGTGGGAACAGCGCTGGACCAAAAACTGCCTGTGCGGGGGGCTGTGGCGGAAGATGCCCCTCAGCTTCTCCTGAGGCGGCCCAGCACGGCCCACGGCACAGTCGGGCCCAGAGCGGGTCACACAGCCCGTGGGGCCGCGGGGCGCCCCACCCGTGTGCAGAGCGCCCGAGACCTCGAGTGGGAGCCTGGTCGGAGCCAGGCAGGGTGGCAAGCAAATGGTTTCAGCACTTAGGAGGCTGAGGCAGAAGGGTGGCCTCAGCTGGGATTACCTAGGGGGTCCCTCAGCCAAAAAAAACAGCGGGGGAGGGCTCATCAGGCCCCTGTATTCCCATTTGTTTATATTTTATTTTATTTTATTTTTGTAATGTTCCCCTTAGAACATGCCTGGTGGGGCTGGGGATTTAGCTCAGTGGCATAAACGCCTGCCTTGCAAGCAGGCAGTCGTGAGTTCGATCCCTGGTACTGAAAAAGACAACAAAAAAAAAAAATGCCTGGTGCTCAGCCACGTGCCTCAGTTTCCCTCTTGTGTCCGCAGAACCTGTCACCTGGTGTGTGCTGAGAGCAGGCGGGGGGGGGGTCCTTTTCATCTGTCCCCTCCTCGCTTTGCCTTGTCTTCCTCTGTCCCCCTCCACCCCGCCTCTCTGAAGCTCTCAGGCCTGCGTCCCCAGAGGTCCAGCTTGCCACCTAGCAGCACGGTCATGGATTATGTCATTGTGTCGAGTCCCCCGCAGGTTTCAGGCGAGCCCTGCCTGGATGCAGTAATTGGCTGTCCTTTGCACCCCACAGGGCACCCGGCTGCATGTGAGCCCAGGTCAGTGTGAGGCTGGGGAGCAGCCACCCCAGAGCCGCAGGCAGGGCAGCCCCGTGGGGTGATGGGGCCAGGCACCCCAGGAAGCCTTGGGGACAGGTTTGTGAGCGTGTGGCCAGGCAGAGGCCGCACTTCCAATCCCCACCCTGTCGCTGTACCTCCCTTGATGCCACGCTGTTGCTTTACTGGGTCTGAGGCCACATCCATTAGGAGTGGCATCCGTGTCTTTTGCCTGGGGTCAGGTAGACACCTGCTGCCACCAAGGCTGGCAGGAGGCGACAGCCTCATCCCCTGGGCCTCGGCCTGGGCCCACACCACCAGGCCTGGCATCCCTGGTTTGGGTTGCTAACTGGGGAACTCCTCCTACCACGGGCAAGCTGGCAGGGTGGGGACCAAGGGGAGGTCACACATTGGGGATGGCCACTGTGGGCGGCTTCTGAAACATTCAGTTGGCCAAGATGAGGTGGGCATTCTGGGACATTCTATGTCCCCACCATAGGGCTTCCTGACAATCTCATTTCTGTGGAGCTCCACGCCTGGGCTCAGCAGTGGGGAAGCCTGACCTGTGTCCCTGGGCACAGTTCTTGGAGGCTTAGAGGATGCTCCCCAGCACACCTGTCAGCCTCCTTCACAGCCACCTCCTCCTCCAGAGACCCCCATGGCTACCCCTGACCACAGCATAGGGCTGAAAATGCCCAGGGGGTCTTGGAGCCAAGCAGGTGTGACACCCCACATGTCACTCTGCACCCTGGCTCTCAGTACTCAAGAGGCCCTCCACCAGTGCCCCAGGCCCTGACTTCCTTTGGGCGAGTGGGGTTGGGCCCATGCAGGGTGACATCAGCCCATCACGCCTGCCTGCATGACCCAGCCTGTCCCCAGGGCCACAGAGAAGGCTCCTGTCCTTCCTGTCTCCAGGGTGTGTGAGTGACAGCCGTCAGATCCATGGGGAGGTGGGAGAGCTGCTTTCCCAGGTCAGAGAGCTGCCCACTGCCTCTGGATCGATCCTGCTCCGTGGTGATAAAATAGGGCTTGCAGCCAGGCAGCACCTGTACCCAGACACATCGCCTGCTGGACAGTAACTGTGCCTGGGCCACGTCACTGTCCTCAGTGCTGTCCCGGACAATGCAGGACACCCTGGAAAAGCTGATTTTAAAATAAATAACCAGCATTTTCTGCATGCATCCTGAAGTATAAAAATCATCCATTGTTTATGCAAAATTTGTGTGTGTGTGTGTGTGTGACAGATACAGAGGCAGAAATAGGATCTGGCTGTATAGTTCTGGCCTTGAGCTCACTATGCAACCCAGGCTGGCCTCCAGCTTCATTGATCCTCCTGCCTTAGCCTCCTGAGTACTAGGATTACTGTTATGTGCCACTGCATCTGTCCAAAAATTTCCTTTAAAGCTGGGCATGGTGGCACACACCTGTATGCACAGTACTCAGGAGACTGAGGCAGAAACCAAAAGTTCAAAACCAGCCTGGGCTATATAGTGAGTTCGAGATAAACCTAAACTACAGAGAGCCTATCTCAAAATAAATAAAATGACACAAGGAATTCGTGCACACACGGAAGATGTAGTTAGGCAACCCAGACAGCTCTGGAAGCATTTATTATGGCTCCTGGGCTCGTTACTGCAGTCCCGCTCAGGCCGCTGCACCCAGCACGCTGTCGATCCAAGCTGTGTAGCTGGCTACGCGCGTGTAGATCCCCGGCTTCCTGCGGTTGCCACACACCCGGGATCCCGAGGTGACCACGCCCTCGAGCACGCCCCCGCACACCAGCGGGCCGCCAGAGTCACCCTGTGGGACGGGTCGGAGAGAGTCATAGACCCAACCTCTATTTTAGGCCCCGCCCCTCAGCTGCGAGCTCCACCCAGCCTTTAGCCTGTGCCCTTGCAAGCCCCGCCCCGTCTGCCAGGACTGGCCCTACCTCTCAGTCCTGGTTCACACCCTCTTTACCAGCCCCGCCCCTTCTTCGGGCTTCGCCACATCAGAACCAATCAATTTATGAGCCCTGCTCATTACTCGACCTGGGCCACGCCCACCCTTAAGGCCACGCCCCTTGCGGAGGTCCTCCTTCTCAGGCTCCACCCTTTCCCTGGCGCTACCCTATCCACGTGACCACTCTCCCCGCCCCTTCCGCAACCCTGCCCACTCACCGAGCCCCGCCCCAGCAGCCCCGCCCCACCCCGCCTCGGCCCCGCCCCGCGCGTCCACGCACCTTGCAGCTGTCACGCCGGTTGCTCTCCGCGCACATCATGCGTTCGGTGATGGTGCCGTCGTGGTACTGGCGCAGGTTACAGGTGGCCCGGTCTAGCACCGGCAGGCGCACGTGCTGCAGGCGGTCGGGTCGGCGACCCGTGTGACTGACGACGCCCCAACCGGCCACATCGCAGAGAGTCCCGGGCGCCACGTCGCGGTCCTGGCGCTGCAGGGGCAGAGGGCGCACGCGCGGGCCCAGCACCGCCTTCTCAGACAGCTGTTGGGGCAGGAGGCTACATCAGGGCTGCGTGGCCGGGGAAAGGTGGGGGCGAGATGGGGACCAAGGGGAAGCAGCGCAGCGGGCGAGACACCGCTGGCCAGGGCTGACCTGAAGCAGGAGGAGGTCGTGATCGATGGTGTCGGGACTGCTGTCCGGGTGGGGCACTGAGCGAGTCACGTCGTACAGGCGCTTGGAGGGCTCGGGCTGTGACAAGGAGTGCGCGCCCAGCAGCACCTGCACCTTGCCGTCCCTATGGACGGGGGCGGGGGCCGAGGTTGGTGCCCGGCCCGCAGGCCCCGCCCAGTCCTCAGGCCCCGCCCCCAGCCCAGCCTAAGGCCACGCCCATCGGACACGCCCCGGCCAGGAAGGCCACGCCCTCTGGGCCGCCCCACCCCGCCCTGCACTCACGCCTCCTCCAGGCAGTGCGCGGCGCTCAGCACCCACTGTGGAGCCACCAGGACGCCGCCGCACAGGTGTCTGCCGTCCACCTGCACCGACGCCATGTAGGGCCGCGCGTGGGCCTCGGCCTCCTGGCCGCCCAGGATCCGGCCGCGGGGCTGCGCCGCTGTGGTGGAGAGAGGGCCGTGAGGACCAGGGTGCAGCCTCCTGCCAGGCCCCCCCGGCCCTGGGGCCGCGGGCCCATCACTGTGGGGCGCAGTCCCAGCAGCTGCGGACGCAGACACCCAGTAGGGCGGTGGAGGCCCCAGATGGAGCCACAGGCGTTGGTGGGGTTTGGGCCAAATGCCAGCGCCACGCCCTGATCTAAGACTTTCAAATTAAACCTAAGAAAAGTGGGGCGACAAAACCTAATGCCCCCGCCTGCCCTGAAAGCCCCACAGGCCTCAGTTTCCACGGTAGAACTGTAGATTCCTGCTGTGGACAAAGTTCAGAGTTCTGAAGGCTCAGATTTCTTAAAACAGGGACCCACTAGGTAGCCCACGCTGACCTCTAACTCGCAGGGATCCTCCTGCCTCAGCCTCCTGAGTGCTGGGATGACAGGCGTGCGCCATCACACCTGGCCCCTTAGCTTTTTTCTTTTCTTTTTTTATATACCGGGGATTGAACTCACTATCTCGCCCTTGCTAGGCAGGCGCTTACTGCCACTGAGCTAAATCCCCGGCAGCCCCTTGGCTTTTGAAGCTGGCCGTTTGTGAAACTGGGGGACCCCAGGCCAAGCCCCCACTCCCCAGGCCCACTCACCACACACCGCAGCCCCCAAAAGGAGCAGAACCACCAAGCGGGCCATGGTAATCGCAGACTGGACACTGAGCCGGGTGTGATGGGGGCCTTTTATGGGGGTGGAGGGGGCGGATGCCTCCCAGGGGCCCCATCTGAGCCTAGGGCATCCATCCAGCTGGGGAAAGGGGAACCCGCCTGCCTGCCCAACCCCCTTTACCCCCCATTTCCTCATCCCCTTGCCAGACTTGGGAATAGGACAAGGGGTCTCTCCTGTCCCAAAGGGCCTGGCCAGATCCTACCCTGTGGGGGTGCCTCCTGGGGATGGCCAGGAAGAGGTGGCCCGGGTGCCCACCGCAGCCCACGTGTCCCCCAGGCCACTGTGTCCTTCCAGCCCCAAATTTCACAATAGCAGCTGGAGGTCCAAGTCTGTAAACAACTTGCTTAATCTTCCCCGCCCTTCTTCAATTCCTCCAGGGGTGCAGGGAGTACTTCCTAATGCCCCTGGACCATGCCCTTGGTCTGGGGGTGATTTGACACCCCAAGAAGCAGAGAGTTGCAAAGATAGAATGTAGAGATGGCTGGAAAGATGGTCAGAAACAAGTGACAAAAAAATAAAACATGTAAAACTGGTGCAGGCATCACTGAAGAAAACAGAGATTTTTGCCTTCAGGTATGGTTTGATCCAGGTGCCTAGATGAGGTCAAGCTCCCATTTCTGGTTTCTCCTTTCTTCTTTAATGGCTTCTCTGCCCACTAGGCTCCCCTGTTGTTGTCCCAGAGGCCCCAGACTCAACTTATGAGCCTTCCTAAAATGTCCCATCATAGCAGCCAAATTCTCAGGGCTGCTTCTGATTGGCTGAGTGAGAGGAGGAGCTCCCTCCCAGGCTGAAGCCTGGACACAGGATTTGATGCCCAGGGTCTGAGACAGTGGCGCTCTGTGGGGTGAGGGTTCGGGTCGGGAACGGCTGGGCGTGGTGGCGCACACCTGTGATCCCAGCGTCTGGGAGGCTGAGGCAGGAGTGTAGCCAGCCCAAGCGCAGCATAGATATTTAGCAACTTAGTGAGCCCCTGTCTCAAAAGATAAAATCAAAATACAATGGGCTGCGGATGTCGCTCAGTGTGAAGGCTCTGGGTTCAAATCCCAGTGCCAGAGGGGGGAAAAAAGAAAAGAAAGGGAAAGAGGCAGACAGAGGTGATTTGTCAGGCCCTCCCGTGTTTCCTTCTAACAGAAGAGCCAGGGCCGGGGCGCCGGGGGATGTGGCACAGAAGGAAAGCGGGCCTCAAATCAGAAGATCTGGGACTCAGGCCTCTCGGGACAGAGCCCAGATTGTGCAAGTGAGAATGTCAGATTACAGCAGCTCTTGGCCGCGGCCCAGGGCCCGGCAAGATGGAGCAGCCCGTTCCCCTCTGCGGCAGGGACGCTGAGGACACGGACAGGCCTCTGGGGTGGACCACGGCCCTCAGCAGGGGCTAATGAGGAAGGAGGTGCCTCGGGGCAGAGCGGGCCCTGGACTTATCCACTGTCACAAGGAGACACAGCTGAACTCTGGTAGTCCGCTTTTTCTGGTTTGTTCTTTCTTTCTTTCTTTCTTTCTTTCCTTTTAATACTTGAGTTGACCCCAGGGCCTTTGCACTGAGCTGCACCCCCAGGCCTTTTATTATTTATTTTGAGCCAGGTCTTGCTGTGTTGCCAAGCGTGAGCTCACACTTGGCACCCTCCTGCCTCGGCCTCCTGGGGAGCTGAAGACTAGGGATGATATGCACCCCCACACCCAGCTGGCACTTTTCTTCTTTCTCTGCCTCTGGCATGGTTCAGGATGGCGGGAGCTGCGTGTCACAGTAACCGCCCGTGACCACAGAGGGCTCCTGTCCGTGCCCATGGGTCAGACACTCCAGTCTCCTCATGAAATGCAAGTTTTTGTTTTGTTTTTATTCTTTTGCAGCGCTGAGCCTCAACCCAGGGCTCCACCCCTGGCCTGTGTCCCTGGCCCTTTTTATTTTTTTCTTGTGAGAAAAAAAATCCTATAAGTTCTAGAGAACAAAAACCAGAAATGGGTCCTTTTTGTGAAAACTTAAGGAGAAAGGCGGGTGTGGTGATGCCCCCGTCATCCCAGCACTCAGGAGGCTGAGGCAGGAGGATCACTGCGAATTCAAGCATAGCCTGGGACATATAGTAAGTTCAGCTCTGGCCTGAATGAGCCAGCTCAACAAAATAACAGTGTGTGTGTGTGGGGGGGGTGGCTTCTGACTCTGGTGCCACTTGGGACGGTGTATTTGGGACACCCCAGCCGCTGTACCCCAGGGGGGCCAGAGAGACACCAGGCTCGCTGTACAAAACAGAGAGGCTTTTATTGCCCTTGACGTTGGGGGAGTGGATGTGCAAAGGCCAGGTGGCCCGTCCCTAGGGGGTCCTGCTCCCGGGCACCCTGGGGTGGGGCCGGGGGCTGGGCTGGCCGGAGTGGCTGATGGAGTTGATCCAGTCGATGTACTCGGCCACGGGCGCAAAGGCATCAGGGAAGTAGCCCGAGCCACAGCCACCCCGGATGAAGGAATCGATCCCCTGCACCAGCCCGTTGCATACCAAGGGGCCTCCGGAGTCGCCCTGCAGAGGAGCACTTAGCAGCTGGGTGGCGGGGGCGCCCTCTGCTGCCCACGGGCCACCCCGAGAGGCCTGACCGTGCTCAGCTGGGAAGGGGACAGGGTCAGGGGGACTCACGAAGCAGATCCCGGCCCGGCGCCAGGGCACCAGGGTGCAGACGTTGACGCGCCGGCGACACTGGGACGTCACCACCGTCACGTTGAGCTCCTGCAGGACACTCGGGACAGGCTGGTTGGTGCCCAGGCGGCCCCAGCCCATGGCCAGGCACCGCGTCCCGTTCCTCACGCCTTGGCCCTGGGCGGGCAGCCGGGCCACTTGGACATTGGTGTTCATCTTGGCCGAGCCGTTGAGCTACATTGGGCAGTGGGGGGACCAAGAGCCGGGGAGTCACAGGGGACCTCACCCAGCCTCAGTTTCCCTATCTGAGGCCGCCCTGTGGTTCTGGTCGCTTGCAAGGCAGGAACCCAACCCTGCCTCAGTTTCCCATCTGCAAAGAGAGCTCATGGTGTAGTGTGGGGAGCTGTCCTTGTGTGCAGTAAACAGCAGACACTCAAAACAACAAAACATGGGCAATGCAAAAGAAAATGAGACTCCACCCAAACCTGCCGGGGTGAGGCTGAGTCAGGAGGGTTGCTTGGAGCTCAAGGCCAGCCAAAATGACATAGCAAGACTCAGTCTCAAAAAAAAAAAAAAAAGTTTGTTGACTGACAACTGCTGGGACCTTTCCTACAGTATCATCTCATTTAATTCCTCCACAGCAGTCCAGGGAAGCATTAACCTCCCATTTCACTGAGGCTCACTCAGGGAGGGAACGAGCCACCCTGCTACCATGGCTGTCATTCCAGACCCCGCGATGTGGCCCCAGCATGTCCCCCGGTCCTCTTCCAAGTCCTCCCAACCTCAGCACCTGGAGAATCACGATGTCATTGAGCAGCAGTGTGGGGTCAAAGCCGTTCTCAAAGATCCGCTCCACACCGAAGGTCTGCCGGGTGCGCTCCCTGCGCCGCAGGTCATGTGCGCCCAATACCACCTGCACTGACCGGAAATTTCTGCGGGCGGGAAAGGTGGGTGACCCTGGGGCCTAGGGTGGCAAGGGGACCTCAGAGACCCACCACGCCTTCCCTGCCTGGAGTGCAAGGGGAGCTCCTCCTCCATGTGGTCCCCTGGACTTTTGCCATCCCGCACTGGGGAGGCTGAGGCAGGAGAATTTCTGTGAGTCTGAGGCCAGCCTGGCTCGTCTAGGGGGTTTAAAGCCAGCCTGAGCTACACAGTGAGAGACCCCCTCTTTTCTCCAGGGTTCGGAGGAGTCCTTGGTGGCTCTGGGGTGGGGGAGCTCAGGACAGGCCCTGAGGGGTCCCACCTGGTGGGACTTGGTGGGGACTCACAGGCCATTCACGCAGTGTGCAGCCGACATCACAAAGTCCCTGGCGATGAGTGTCCCACCGCAGAAGTGTCCCCCGCGCCGCTGTAGGGACACCATGTAAGGCCTGGAGTGGGGCCGTGCCGGGCGGCCGCCCACGATGTCTGAGGCCAGTGTAGGGCCTGGGGGTGCAGGATGGGGAACTGAGGCACTGGGGGAAGAGAGGCCGCGTCTGGGTCCCCTGCTGGGACCCGCAGCCTTTATCTCCCAGATTCTCATCCTGACCCCCCCCCCACCAGGCGGGAGCGCAGAAAGGACTCCGGACACGTGGGCAGGGACCACTCACCGGCCAGCAGCAGAGCCAGCAGGGCGTAGGCGAGGGCAGGCCTGGGGATGCGACGGCCACGGGCCATGGTGGGTTGGGGTTCCAGGGCTCCTGGGCCAGCCCGGCCACCAGGCCTCTTATAGCTGGGGCTGCGGGGCCGTTACATTGCCCCATGGCACTGGCACCCCCACTTCCTCTCGGGGTGCGAAGGGGGCTGAGGGCTGGCGGGGTCCAGATACACAAACTTGGATGTCGGGTAACAGCCTCTTTCTGTCTTCCTTCCTTTTTTCCTTCTTTTTCTGTCTGTCTGTCTGTCTTTTTCCTTGAGACAGAGTCTTGCTATGTAGTGCTGGCCTTGAACTCATAGGGACCCTCCTGCCTCAGCCTCACCCAGTGCTGGGATGATGGGTCGTGTCACCACCATGCCTGGTGTAAGGGGCCTTTTTTTTTCTTTTTTCTTTTTTAGACAGGGTCTCACCGTGCACTATAGGCTGGCCTTGAGCCCAATATGTGGCCCGGGCTGGTCTCGAACTTATGATGATCCTTCTGCCTCAGCCTCCCAGTGCTGGAATTCTAGCTGTGCGTCCCCACCCCTGGCTAACTTTTTTTCTTTACCATAAACCAGTCCCTGTTACCGCCCAGAACTTACTTAGCTACACAGTTAGTCCCTGGTAGGGTGGCCTCTCATCCCAGCTGCTCAGGAGGCTGAGGCAGGAGGATCCCACATTAGAGCTCACCTCAGGCAACTCAGCAAGACCTGGTCTCAAAATACAAAAATGCTGGGGGTGTGGCTCAGTGGTGAGCAGCTACCTGGCATGCAGGAGGCCCTAGGCTCCGTCCCCAGGATGTGTGTGTGTGTGTGAGTGTGTGCACACACACACTCACACACACACACACACACACACACCACTGCTCATTCGGCTTTCAGATGTAACTGCAAATCCCGTATCTTTCCTGTTCAATTCCGGGAATCGAACTCATGACCTCCAGCGGAAATCCCGTCATTTTGCAACCTGGACCTTGGGACTGATAGGATCTCCTCCTCCTCAGTTTCCCCATGGCACTAAGCATTCCCAGTGCTCCCAGTGCTGTTCCTGGCATTCCTCTGGGTCCTCTGCCAGGCTCCCATGGCCCAGGCAGCATAGCCTGCCACCTCTTTTGGTGGGGAGGTACTGGGGATTAATCCCAGGTCTTCCTGCTAAGCTATGTCCCAGCCTTTTTTCATTTTTTGTTTTGAGACATCTCTTGCTAAGTCACTTTGCTGCCCAGGCTGGGCTGGAACTTGAGATCCTCCTGCCTCAGCCTCCCTGAGTGCTGGAGGAGCTGTGGGGTTTTTTTGTTGTTGTTTTGTTTTTTTGTTTTGTTTTTTCTTTTTCCTTTTTATCGGTACCGGGGATCGAACTCACGACTGCCTGCTTGCAAAGCAGGCACTTATGCCGCTGAGCTAAATCTCCAGCCCCTGGAGCTGTGGTTTTGAACCTTGGCCTCCATTTGCAGCTGGATAATGTCACACCAAGCCTGGCACCAGTGATACTGGTCCACTGTCTGAGTCTCCCCAGGACATCCTGGGGCTATGTTGAGCCTTGTCACTGTCTGGGCTGGAGGAATGACCTGGCAGGTGATGCCCAGGCCCGAGGGCCTCCCTGCTAGAGCAAAAGGGAAGGAGCCCAGGCCAGGAGTTGGCAGATTCCTGGCAGCCAAAGTTGTTACAACACCAACGTCCCCGAGTGGGCACAAGGTGTGGGGGAGGACCCAACGGATGGGCAGGGGACAGGGTCACCAGAGCTGGGGGGAGGGCTGGACCGTTTGCCCCTGCATCCCCCCCACATGCCAACCCCTAAAGCTCTCTGTCGGGGTAACCGCCGCCTCTGTCTCCAAGCCGGGTATGCAGCAGGCGCTCAGGCTCATCTGCCCCTCATCCCAGCTTGGTCAGACTCCTGCTGAGCGGTATCGACCTCTCCCCCTTGGGCAGAGACCTTCAGGGCTGCATCCAAGCTGCCACAGAGCACTTAGTGCCCACCTGCTGGACACACAGCCCTACTTGGAGCTGTACTTGCAGGGGGAGGGGTGAGAGAGGTCATCTCTGGGGGCTTTGGTTTGGATGAGGCCAGATTCAGAGGCAGTGACATCTAACGGTGTGGACTCTGGATTCGTATCCTGGTCGCTACTGCATGGCTTCAGGCCACCGAGTTGATCTTTTTGTGACTCAGTTTCTCCTCTGTAACCATAGGGGCCGGGATCTAGCTCAGCAGCATAAGCACCTGCCTTGCAAGCAGGCAGTCGTGAGTTCAATCCCCGGTACCGATAAAAAGGAAAAAGACAAAAAAAAAACAAAAAAAAAACCAACTGGAACCATGAAAATAGACTTCATCTCCCAGAGCTGCTGGAAATCTCAGAGAATCAGCACCTCGCAAGGCCTTGGCTTAGGAAGTGCTGTCTGCGAGGCTCTGCTCAGTGAGTGTTGCTGGGACTGCAGGGCGTGCAGACCTCTCATCCTGGCGATCAGGAGGCTGAGGCAGGAGGATCGACACAAGCTCATGGGCAGCCTGGGCTATGTTCAAAGCCAGCCTGAACTACATAGCAAGATCCCGTCTCTCAGAGAGAGAGAGAGAGAGAGAGAGAGAGAGAGAGAGAGAGAGAGAGAATATGTTCCTGGGATCAGAGCTAAGGAGTCAACAAACCAGGCTGCCTGTCCCCCTTGGACTCTAGGAAGCTGGAGCAGGAGGATCCCAAATTTAAGTCCCACTTGGAAACTCAGAGGTTTAGAAAGAACCCATCTCAAAATAACAAAGGCTGAGGACCCCAATTGTTGGCTGACCCAGAGGCAGGGACCCCCTCCTGGGGTCCCGGGAGCCGTTTCTCGCTGTGCTCTGTCCTTGTGCCAGGCATCCTGTTTCTTATGCCTGTGGTTTGGCGTGGCTGAATTTCAACAGCCCTGGCCGATCTGGCAAAGCCATCTGCATCCGGGACCCGCGGCCCAGGCCTCCCCAGGGCCGGGCTTCCCTCTCCAGCCTTCCTCTGAAGCACCCTTACTAAGCAGCCCAGACAAAGAACACTGTCGGAGGTTTTTGCAGGCTTTCCTTCTTTTGTGTTTGTTTGTTTGTTTTGCCTGCTAGGCAATGGTCTGCTTCTGAGCCTCACCCCCAGCCTCCTTGTGGGTTTTTTTTTTTTTTTTTTTTTTTTTTTTTTGGTCTTTTTGGGATGGGGTCTCGCTATGCAGGCCAGGCTGGCCTAGAGCTCCCTTTTTAGCCCAGGCTGGTCTCGAACTCGCAGCAATCTTCCTGCCTCAGCCTCCTGAGTGCTGGGATGACAAGCATTCCCCCTTTTGTGGTTTTCTTTCTGCCCTGTCTGTGAACTCTCCCTGTCTCCTCCTGCTCCCTGACGCTGGTCATAGCAAGGTCCCCATGGGCGGTCACGAACTCCCCAGAGCCCAGCGCCTCTGCACGGGTTTGCTCCTCACCTTCTTGCGGGCTTTAAAGCAATCGGAGCTTCCCCGCCCTGTGGTCGGCTGAGATTTTAAACAACCTGGAGAAGCCACAGGCCTGGGCTTCAGCCGCTTCGGCTGCCACCAGGCGGCGGCAAAGGAGCCCAGCCTGGCAGAAGTGGCCTGGCACAGCAGGAGACGCTGGAGCCAGCCTGCCGCCGCCTCCAGGAAGTCCCCCCCCCACCCGCCTACCCGAGCTGGACCAGAGCCCACGGCCCCCCGGGGCCCCCCTGACCGGGCCCTGGGCCGCTCCCTGAGTGCACACGCGGAAAGGACAGACAGACAGGTTGGAGGGGGTTTCCACCCTTATTAATGTCAGGACAAGGGCTAGCGCGGGCCAAGCTGGGGGACTGGCGCGTGGTGCACCCGCGGACCACTGAGGTGTCCAAGCTCCGCAGGATGCCTCGGAGATCAGGGGCCGCCCGAGTCTCCCAGGGGCTGGGGAGCCACGGAAACGAGCTGGTCAGTCCCCAGGCCAGGCCGAGGTGGCTGGGGTGAAATGTGAGGAAGGCTAGGGAAGGACGTGGCACTTAATTATCCCCTGCTGGACACCTGGACCGCTAGTTTCTGGGCGGGTCACCCACCCGCTCCCGTGGTCTGAGAGGCTCTCCAAGGGAACAGCTGGGTGAACAGCCTCCCAGAACAAGGAACTATGCCCACTGGTCCCACCCCCATCTCACTAGCCACGCCCAATCACCGCGCTTTACCACGCCCACCGCCACGCCCACTAGCCAACCCTGCCCCCACTAGCCACACCCTTCCTACTAGCCACGCCCAGTCACCACCCTTCAGCAGCCCATCTCCTCACCCATTGGCCTGCTGGGTCCTCACCAGCCACGCCTATAACCACACTGGCCACGCCCTTCCAATTAGCCACGCCCACCTGTCCAGTAATTTTGGAGCTGATCCCAGCTCTGTGCCTTGGCCCCAGCGTGGACACATTATGCCGCCAGTATAGGTAGGTGATTGCAACTCCTGCAGGACTCGGAGCCTGCCCGAGCTAGACGAGAGCCTACACCTCAGGTGCCCAGGCAACCCCAGCCCATAACCAGGCACTAGGTCCCCCAGCACAGTGGCTGGGGTCCTGCTGGGGAAGCCAGACCACCTCAGCGCCAGCGGAGGCTGGTGGGTCCAGCAGAGGTGGAGAGCACGGGGTGGGCAGAAGGTGATGTCCCCAGCCCCCGCACAACCTGTCTCCTGGGGTACCCCTCCATGTTTCTACCCAGCTATTTCCTCTCCCTCGATCCCCTCTGTATCATTTGACATGGGCAGAGCTTTTTTGAGTGCCAACTGTATACCCAGTCCCCTACCTAACGCCAAGTGTATACTCAGTCATATTTTTTTGTTTTTGAGATAGGGTCTCACTTGCAGTTCAGGATGACCTTGAACTTGTTTATGTAACCTAGGCTGGTCTCAAACTCCAAGCAATCCTGCCTTAGCTTCTGGAGTGCTGGGATGACAGGCATATACCCCCACGCCCTGCTCTCAATCCGATTTTGAGCCCTAGCAGAGGGCACTATAGTGAACAATTCCCTCAAAATCCTCTAGAGGGAGCGTGCCACTCACCGGGCAAGGGCTAGAAAGAGCCTCTGAGTTCCACGGTGGGGAAGGGACCTGGGGAGGGGCGACTGCGGATTGCCCGGATCCAGGAGGTGGAGCTGCGAGGGCACCCAGGAACACAGTCCTGTCTACCCCGGGCTGTCCCAGAGGCCTGGTATGCAGCAGGCACTCCATAAGTGCGCGCCTGTGGGAGCAGCGCGTCCCCGCGGTTGTCCCAGGGACCTGGCTGATGGTGAATCCCTGCTGCTCTGGCTCCGGGCTCAGTCCTGGCCGTCCAGTGCGGCCTCTGCCCCTCTCCCTCCCTTTGCCCCTCCCCCTCCTATTTGTTTGTTTGAGACAAGGTCTCCCCATGTAGTTCAGGTTGGCCTCGAACTCGCTGCCAGGTCCCTGCGTCAGCACTACTGTGCTGGGATCCTAGACATGTGCCACTGCCCCTGGCTTTTGCCTTTTCCTTTTTCCTTTTTTCTTTTTCTTTATTGATTACTGTAGTAGAAATGGAACCCAGAGAGTACTAAGCTACATACTCAGGTCTTTTCTTTCTTTCTTTCTTTCTTTTTTTTTTTTTTTTTGGTCTTTTTCCTTTTTATTGGTACCGGGGATCGAACTCACGACTGCCTGCTTGCAAGGCAGGTGCTTATGCCGCTGAGCTAAACCTCCAGCCCCTATGGTCTTTTCAGTTTTAAAATTTTATTTTATTTTTTTTTTTTGGTGCCAGGGATCGAACTGACAACCTCGTGCTTGCCAGGCAGGCTCTTATGCCGCTGAGCTAAACCCCTGGCCCCTCTTTTATTTAATTTTTGATGGCAGAGTCTATAATCTCACCACTCTGGCAGGCTGAGACAGGAGGACAACTTTGTGCCCAGGCCTGGACGACAATTTTATTGAGACAGGAATCTCACTGTGTAGCCCAGGATGGTCTTGAATTTATGGTGATCTGCCTGCCTCAGCCTCCTGAGTGCCAGGATGACAGGTGTGCGCCACCACACCTGGCCCAGCCTGGGCAACGTAATGAATCCGTAAGACCTTGTCTGAAAATTAAAAAATACAAATACATTTTTTTTGTCTTTTTCCTTTTTATTGGTACCAGGGATTGAACTCACGACCGCCTGCTTGCAAGGCAGGTGCTTATGCCGCTGAGCTAAATCCCCGACCCCTACAAATACATTTTTAAGGGCTCGGGATGTAGCTCAGCGGCACAGCACCTGCCTGACAAGTGTGAGGTTGTGAGTTCAACTCCCAGTACCGTAAAAAATAATAAAAATAATTTTTAAAAAGGACTGGAAAGGAGTTGCTGGGAGGGTAAGGGAACAGGGAAAAAAGAAAAAGAATCAAGATATATCACGTGGGGGCTGGGGGTTTAGCTCAGCGGCATAAGCACCTGCCTTGAAAGCAGGCAGTCGTGAGTTCGATCCCCGGTACCGATAAAAAGGAAAAAGACAAAAAAAAAAAAAGATATATCACGTAGTGTATAGGTACAAATTCCCTATGATGGGGGCTGGGGATTTAGCTCAGCAGCATAAGTGCCTTCCTTGCAAGCAGGCAGTCATGAGTTTGATCCCTGGTACCAATTAGAAGAAAAAAGGCAAAAAAAAAATTCCCTATGATGAATGTGATCATTATGTATACCTAAAATGTATCAATAAACAATTTATTAAAAACCCAGGTGTGGGGGCTGGGGATTTAGCTCAGTGGCATAAGCACCTGCCTTGCAAGCAGGCAGTCGTGAGTTCGATCCCTGGTACTGATAAAAAAGGAAAAAGACAAAAAAACAAAACAAAATAAACCCAGGCGTGGTGGGGCACACCTGTCATCCCAGCACCCAGGAGACTGAGGCAGCAGGATTACTTCGAATTCAAGACCAGCCTGTGCTACAAAAGCCAGCCTGCGCTGCATAGTGAGACTCTGTCTCCAAAAGTCAATAAATTAAAAACAAATAAAATACAGTGAGCCTCCTGCCTCAGCCTCTTGCTTGCTGGGAGAACAGGCATGCGCCACTATGCGCAGGTTTTGTTGTTGTTGTTGTTTTTAAGTATGGAAGACTGAACCCAGTCTAGCTCTGAGCTGGAACAGCCCCAGCTCCTTAACTTTTTTTTTCCATTTTGAGACAAGGTCTTAAGTTGTGCAGGCTGATACTGACTTTGTGACCCTCCTGCCTCAGCCTCCAGAGTAACTGGCTTACAGGGATGTGACAACCCATTGGATCCTTTTCTGGATTTTTTTCTCCCTTCTCTGGATCTTTAAGAATGATACTTGCAGCTGGGCGTGGTGGCACACACCTGTCATCCTAAAACCCTGAGAGGCTGAAGCAGGAGGATCACAAACTCGAGCCTGCCCTGAGGAACCTGGTGATTTTGGCTTTTATTTTATTTTATTTTATTTTTGAGCCAGGATTGTGTGAGGTTGAGACACTGCCCAGGCTGGGCTCAAACTTGCGATCTTCCCGTCCCTGCCAGGGTGACCCAGCATCACATCGCCCCAGCTTCTCACGCGTGGCTCCGGGGGAGCCAGCCTTTTCAGGGTGGGAGGGGCGGGTCGAGGAAGACGCTGGGGTCCTGGGGCTCGGATCCAGCCTCAGCGGAGTCCCGGGGTCCAGCGACCCGGCGGTGTCCCCTCTCTGTCCTCCCGTGTCTCCTGATTTCCTTCTTGTCTGTGCTTTGTTTAGGTTTCAGTGTTTTTGAGACAGGGTCTCTCTATGCCGTCCAGCCTGGCCTCGAACTCATGGCGACCCTCCTGCCTCAGCCTCCGGAGAGCTGGGATAATGGGTATGCATGGCCATTTCCATCCCAGTCAGTGGACCTCCGGGCCTCAACTTCCCTGTCTGCCGTGGGGACACGAACAGACCGAGCCCCTGGAGCCGTGCTGAGCTCGGGGTGGGTGCAGAGCCTTGGGGCTCTCAGGCAGCTCTGGCTACCCCCACTCCCTCCCCGGGGGCACTCCTGCTCCTTCCAAGCCCGCACAGCCCCTTCCCGCACTTCCTCCTCTCCTGCCTGCTGGGGCCATTTGTGGCTGCTTTCAACACCGGGATTCTCAACGGCTGTCCAGGAGCCTCCCCCCTCCTCCTGCTGGCTGCACTGGGAAACTGAGGCACGGTCCACAAGCAGGCAGCCCCCACTGCTGTGGCAGGAATGAGGGGGGAGGTGGCGCCTGGACATCAGCCACGGTGGCTCTGGTGTCCTTTTCCTCATGCTGCCCAGGGGGTGCCTTCTGTATAGGGCAGGCAGCTGGGGTGCACTTCCAACGGGGCAGGAGCCTTAGTTACCCCCATTTCCAGCCCAGGAAACTGAGACCTGGATTCCAAGTGCTGTATCAGGGAATACAGGTGTGGTGGTGCACGCCTGTCATCCCAGCACTCAGGAGGCTGAGGCAGGAGGATCAGTATGGGTTTGAGGCCAGCCTGGGCTCCATACTGAGACCTTGTCTCAAAAACAAAACAAAACAAAACAAAAAAACCCACAAAAAGAAACCAAGCATTGGAAAGTTTGTGGGAAAGGTGTTGTTACCACCCAGAAAAATCTGGGGTGTTTTGCTTTTTTTTTTTTTTTTAATAAATAGGGTCTCGGGGCTGGGGACTTAGCTTGGCAGCATAAGCACCTGCCTGCCAAGCGCAAGGTCGTGAGTTCGATCCTTGGTACCAAAACAAATAGGGTCTCATCAGACGAGGTGGCGCACTCCTGTAGCCCCAGCATTTGAGAGGCTGAGGCAGGAAGCTTTTTGCGAGTTCAAGACCAGTCTGGGATGCAAAGGGAGCCCAAAGCCAGGCTGACCCACATAGCGAGACCCTGTCTCAAAAAAGACAATAAATAATAAATAAATGAATGAATACATAGGTCTCACTGTGTAGCCCAGGCAGCCTGGAATTCAGCGATCTTCCTGCCTCAGCCTTCGGAGTGATGGGATGACAGGCGCGCGCCACCACCATGCCCAGTTTACCACTAAAGTAAATCTTTGCCAACACGGAGCTGAGCCTCTGAAAACATGAGACAATTTCAGAAAAACATTGTGACTCACAGCGGCGCAGACAGCAAACGGGCGAGAGCGCGGGGGCGGCCTCTGTCGCACTCCAGCGAGTGGCTTAATCACACGGCAAGCGCCAGGCCGCTCCCGGCGTGTCCCCCAGCTGTGCATACAGAAGGCGCTTGGGGCTAGCGAACCCATGCGCAGTATCCAATCCTGTCACTCGGGGCCTGGCAACTTCGGACAGGGCCCTGGGCTCTCCGGCCTCAGTTTCCCCGTGTGGAGCTAGGTTTAGCAGGTCTCCGCCCCGCAGGGCTGTGCGCGCTGGAGGTGCCTTCGGTATACAGCAAGCGCTGCCTAAGTGCGCAGGGTCAGTTCCGCCCAGCGCCCTCCAGGCCCGGGCACCGCCAGGTCGGCAGGCGGAGGGGAGGGAAGAGGGATGGGGACCGGGCGGGGCTGAGAGGGCCCCGCGCCCCACCGCGCCCTGCTCCTGCCCGAGCCTTTGTCTCCTGGCCCGGCGCCCGGGGAACTCGCCATGGAAACGGGAGCGCGCGGGGCGGGCGCGCCGGGTCGAGGGGGCTGCGGGGGGACGCGGAGGCCGTGACCGCCCGGAGCCGCCTGCAGCGCGAGCCCAGCCCGCGCCGCGCGCCCTAGAGAGGCCGGCGGGGAGCGCGCGGGGGCGCCCGGGGAGACCGAGTCCCGAGGCCCCCGGGCCCCGGGCCCCTGAGACTGCGAGGGGGCGGCGACCGGCGCAGGAGGCCGGGCGGGGCCGGGGGCGGGGCCGGGCGGAGGCGGGGCCTGCGGTGGACACGCCGGCGCCCCCTTTGCACGCAGACAAAGAGCCCGCGTGCCGCGCCCAGGCCGCCGCGGGGTCCCCGCCGGGCCCCTCCCCGCCCCTCCCCCTCCCCGCGCCCCACCCCCGCCGCGGACCAGCTTTGTGCTCGCCGCCCGCCAGGTGAGGCTGCGGAGGCGCCGGGCCCCACCCCTGCGCCCCGGTCCCTGGGCGGCTGCGCTGTGCCGCGCCGGGAACAAACGCGGGCACCGAGACCCCCGGGCCGGCAGCGCCTTCTCCGCTCCCCTTCCCGACCTGCTCCCCGCCTCTCCGGCCGTGGTTGCCGGGGTCCCGGGGTCCCCAGGGCTCAGCGCGCGTGTCCCCCTCCCCAGCGCAGCTCTGCGCCCCTCCAGCCTCGGCCCGCAGCGCCCGCGGCACCATGATCTCCGCCAAGGAGAAGAATAAAACCCCGAAGGACAGCATGACGCTTCTGCCCTGCTTCTACTTCGTGGAGGTGAGTGAGGTGCCGGGGGCGGGGGGCTGACGCGACCCGGCACAGATGCCCCTGGCCGCCTCTGGAGGGGGCCGAACCCAAGGTGGGGCGAGGAACGTGGGGCTGGGTCAGAAATCTTGGGCTCTGTCGGTCGAATAGGAGTTTCAGAGGCGCGGAAGGGTGGTCTGGGCTGTGGGATCAGTGTGTGCAAAGGCCGGGAGGCGGCACCTGCAGCTGTGGTCCGGATCAGAAGCCAGCCTGGCCCCGCAGGGTGCCGGGAGGCCAGAAGGCGGGGCTGGGCGCGCGTGCACTCTGCCTCCGCGGGCGCCCGCACCGCCTGGGGTGCCAGGTCAGCCCTTGCTCCGCCTGGGGCATGGCGCGAGCCCCCCACCCCGAGGACCTCACAGGAATTAAGGGCTGCCCAAAGGCCCCACCGGCGGGCGCCGGGAGGGCGTGCCTGCGGCCTAAGCCCGGGAACAATGTAGGCTGAAGCGCGCGCACTCCGTGCTGGGGTGGGGACCCACAGTGACATTGGTCAGTCCTTGAGTGACAGGCGCGGAGAATCCGGCTCCTGAGAGAGGCCGAGCAGGACTTGGTGCTGGACAGGGTGGGCTCTGGGACCCCCGACCCGTGCGGGCAGCGGGTGCCACTCCGGCTGGTGACATCACTGCAGGGCCTGCAACAGTTTGGAGCAAATCTGCTTGGGGCTGCAGCTTGCAGTGACAGGGGCCTCCCCCTCCTGCGTGTTCCCCACCCCGTTGGGAGGCAGCTGTCGCACCCCCACCCCGCCCCTTTCCCCACCTCCATTCATTCTTCCTTTTATTTAGGGATTTGTATCTGCAGTGCCGGGGATGGAACCCCAACCTGAGTCCTGAGTGTGCAGGGCAAACAATCACCGCTGAGCTGCCTTGCCCAGCACCCCTCACCCCCCATCTTTGTTTTGTGAGTCAAGGTCTTGCTATGGGGTTCAGGCTGGCCTCGACCTCCTGGTGATCCTCCTGCCTCAGCCTCCTGGGTGCTGAGATTATAGGTGCGCACCGCCATGCCTGGGAGCTCTCTTGTCACATGTTTAATGCTTCTGGAAATCGGTTGACATCTGTTCTTCGTCCTCCCCGTCTCTCCCCTACCCCAGCCTCAGCCCCTCCCTCTTTTCAGTGTTTGTTTTTTTTGTAGGGCTGGAGATGGAACACAGGGCTAGGCCATGCAAGCCGTATCCTAGCCCCGATGCCTCATGCTAACTTCTTGCAGCTCTGGATTGAACCCAGGGCCTTTGCACTGAGCTCTAGTCTCAAGGCTTTTGAGACAGAGCCTCTCTAGACTGGCTGAGCCAAACTAGGCTCGAATTTGCGCTCCTCCTCCCTCAGCCTCAGAAGTGCTGATGTGGTAGAGGGTCTCTCCCATGTAATTTATTTTATTTGTTTTTTGAGACAGGCTCTTGCTACATAGCCCAGACTGGCCTCGGAACTTGTAGCGATCCTCCTGCCTCAGCCTCCCGAGTGCTGGGGTGACAGGCGTATGGCACCACGCCTGGATATTCCATTTTTACTATTATTTTTTCCATATTTTGAACACATAATTCTGTTCCTGTCATTGTTCCAGCCGAGGCCTTGGGCTGGCATTACGCAAAGTGTCTGAGGCTTGCTCGGTGCAGTGAGGCGCTCCATCCCCAGTAGCTGGGCACAGCTGTGCCTTGAAACCTCTGTGATCAGGAGTGGGGATGAAAATCCTCCCGCCTGCACTGTTGTCCAGCCCAAGAATGAGCTTATGCTGGGGACCCTGGTACATGCTTGTGATCTCACCTACTCAAGAGGCAGAGGCAGAAAGGTCATAAATTCAAAGCAGGCTAGGCAACTTCCCAAGACCAAGTCTCAAAATAAAAAGGGCAGAGGGCCAGGCGTGGTGGCACATGCCTGTGATCCCAGCACTCGGGAGGCTGAGGCAGGAGGATCTTCGAGAGTTTGAAACCAGCCTGGGCTACACAGTGAACTCAGGGCCAGCCTGAACTGCATAGTGAGACCCTGTCTCAAAAAGACAGAACAAGGGGTAAGGGCTTTAGCTCAGTGGCATAAGCGCCTGCCTTGCAAGTACGCGGTCGTGAGTTCAATTCCCTGTACCGATTAAAAAAAAGACAAAACAAAAAAACTCAAAAAATAAAAACACAAAAACAAAACCGGTTTAAATGAGTCTCCTGTTTGCTTTCCCAAGAGCTGGGCTACTGGTGCAACCCCATGCTTGGCTTCTTTTTCCTTTGCTTTTTTGGGGGGATGGGGGTGCAGGGGGTTGAACCCAAGGCCTTGTTGGTGCTACACTAGCACCCTGCATTGAGTGCCTCTGCGCCCCTTCTTGTTTTTTCCTTTGAGACAGGGTCTTACTATGTTGCCCAGGCTGGGCTTGAACTTGGAGTCCTCCTGCCTCAGCCTCCTGGGTAGCTGGAATGACAGGCAGGCAGCACCTTGACAGGCATCAGACCTTTAAAAAATTTTAAAAAGCCCCCCCCCTCCCGGAAGGACATCTTTGAATGTCTGCATACCTCACTCCTGGGCCTCATGGATGGGAGAGACAGGGTTTTTATCTGGGAGCCCTGGATGATGACTGCTTCTCCAGTGTCACTTCCGGTGTGGCTGGGTTTTGGGTTTGAGTCTGCTGGGAGATCTGACCACTTCAGTTTGTTGGTGCTGAGAAGCTGCTGCTTGTTGGGCCCCGTCCCTGGCAGGGGACTTTTAAAATAATCTGTATGTTTTGGGGACAGGGTCTCGCTATGCAGTTCGGGCTGGCCTTGAGCTCACTACGTAGGCCAGCCTCAAACTTGAGTCCATCCTCCTGCCTCAGCCTCCCGGGTAGTGCTGTGTACTTTATTTATCCGTCTAAGTCCTGTGATTCCTATCACACATTTGGGGAAACTGAGGCACATGGTTGCAGAGCAGAGCTGCGCAATCCATGGCGTCCAGGAAGCAGAGCAGGGGAGGAGAGCCAGAGAGAAAGGAATTGGGACCAGAGGTACGGTTTTGGGTCACACCCCAATGACCGGCTCCAGCCAGGCCCCAGCCTGACGGCTGACCCACCTGCAAACTAAGTGTCTGCTTTTGGGGGTTGGGGGAGACCGGGGCCTGAACCCAGGGATTCACACTAAACTACATCCCCAACCATTTTTATTGTTTTATTTGAGATAGGCTATGGCTCAGTCACTAAATCTTGAATTTGGAATCCTCCTGCCTCAGCCTCTTTAATCTTTAATCTATGGCAGGTGTGTCACCTCCACAGCTGGCTTTGGAGAATGTTTTTGATCCAAACCACAGGATATGCCAGACACTGTCCCCCTCCTCACTCATCTCCTCGGGCCTTGGGCCTGAGCCCCACTCCCTCAAGCCCAGCGCTTTCCATGCTGACGCCTACAGACCCCGCAGCGTCGCCTCTCCAGACCCCTGCAGGCTCCTGCCTGCCCCCTGTACACGTTTGGTGGGGCTGGAGCCAAAGCAGTGTAGGACACAGTGGGGGTGTCAGGCATGGCCACGGACCAGGGGGTGTCTAAGCAAGCACACCCCAGCAGGGAGGAAAGAAAAGGAGAAACAGAGGTGAGATACGTGGTTTTCCTCTATGAAAAGAAGGGCCGAGCCAGGGTGGGTAGCACACACCATAATCCCAGCACTCAGGAGGCTGAGGCAGGAGCATCAGTGTGAGTTCGAGGCCAGCCTGGGCTACATAGTTCAGGACTAGCCTGAACCACATAGCAAGACTTGTCCCCCAAAACCCCCCAATAACAAAAATATGACCAAAACAGGTGTGTGGGGTACCTGGAGCGAAGTTAGGGACAGATGGTGAATGGAGGGAGAGATGAGTGGGTTGTGGATGGAGATGGATGGATAGTGATTGGTGGGTGCAGAATGGATGGACGGTAATGGGCAGATGGTGATTGGTGGATGCAGAATGGCTGGGAGGATGGTGACTGGTGGATGGTGATTGGTGGATTAGGATGGATGGATGGATGGTGATTGGTGGGTAGCAATGGAAGGATTAAACTGGATCAGCACAGCGCAGTCAGGGGTTTGCAAGGAGAACAATCACATAAAGGACACACAATGTATAGTATTAATTATAATGGTCACCCAAGGAGTCAAATATAAGGAAAGTGCAGGAAATTTGCCCACACCACCAAAGACTTAAAAAATTCCGCTGAGCTCCTGGATCCCATGGCAATAAGCTGCATGAGTTCAGCTGAAAACCTAGAGCCCATGACAATGACCCATACAGGTCTGTCCCACAGATCTGTTCTGGGAAGGCCCAAAGGTCAGCAGTGGAAGCCAAACAGTCTATGCCAGCGGGGTGAGGGAGCTGTGCCAGCAGGTTCTGTACTGGAGCTAAGAAGTGATGCTCAAAATAAGAATCAGGGCTCCCAGAAAACTACCACAGCCATTCTCAGCGACACGGTCCCAAGCTCCTCTGACATTGAGAACAGCTGAGTTCATATCAGGGAAGCCAGAGTGACCAGTGGCTCCAAACAATAGCACTTAGGAGAACCCACCAGGCTCCTCTTCCTCTCCAGGTCTCCTTTTATGCTGGTGACTGTCCTCAGCAGGGCCACCCACGCTCAGTACCGTGCTGATCCAGTTCAGCTAGTGTTTAAGTTGACCACCAGTTTTGGTGGATGGATGGGTGATGATTAGTGGGTGGGGTTGGTCAGCTAGATGGTGATTGGTGCATGTGATGGATGGATGGGTGGAGTGGATAGGTGGATGCATGGTGGGTAGAAGGATCAATGGGTGGATAATCGGATAGATGGTGGGTCAGTGACAGTGGCTGGAGAACCCTGTGGACGGATGAACTGACCTGCGGATGGAGGGCGTCAGGGCAGGCAGAATCTACCGTGACCACACAGTGAGTGTGAATGCATAGCCACATGGGCAGGAAGGGGATTCGATGAGGCCGGTGGGTGACACTGGCTGGCCGTCCCTGCAGCTGCCCATCGTGGCATCCTCCATCGTGTCCCTGTACTTCCTGGAGCTGACTGACCTCTTCAAGCCGGCTAAGGTGGGCTTCCAGTGCTACGACCGCACGCTGTCCATGCCCTATGTGGAGACCAGCGAGGAGCTCATTCCCCTGCTCATGCTGCTCAGCCTGGCCTTCGCGGCCCCTGCCGCTTCGGTGAGAGACCTCTGGGGCCTGGGAGAGGACGCGGGCAAGGGCCCCAGGCATGGCCTCCGCCCTAACGCCGCCCCGCACTCTGGCAGATCATGGTGGGCGAGGGCTTGCTCTACTGCCTGCAGTCGCGGCTCTGGAGCCGCAGCGGGGGCCCGGGCGGGGCCGAGGGCAGCATCAATGCGGGCGGCTGCAACTTCAACTCCTTCCTGCGGCGCACAGTGCGCTTCGTGGGTGAGTCCGGCACACAGGCCACCGGGGTTGGGGAGTCCCTGCCTCCCCGCACCTCCCACCCCTGCCTTACCCTCTCACCCTTCAGGCGTCCACGTATTTGGGCTCTGCGCCACTGCCCTGGTGACCGACGTCATCCAGCTGGCCACCGGCTACCACACGCCCTTCTTCCTTACCGTGTGCAAGCCCAACTACACAATGCTGGGGACCTCGTGTGAGGCGAACCCCTATATCACGCAAGACATCTGCTCCGGCCACGATGCCCACGCCATCCTATCTGCACGGTGAGCTCCCCGCCCAGGGCCCGGGTGGGAGTGTCACGGCCCTGCCCTGCCCTCCCCCCCGATTCACTGGACACATGGGGAAACCAGGCACGGGGCCAGTCCCTGGACAGTGGGGCTCACGCTGGCACCCCTTCCAGGAAGACCTTCCCGTCACAGCACGCCACGCTCTCCGCCTTCGCCGCAGTCTACGTATCGGTAAGTGTGTCCTGGGTCCCCAGCCCTACAGCCTGGTCACCTTGCTCCAGCCCCCCGGGAGCTGGCTGCCGCTGACAGCTGCTCCCCGCAGATGTACTTCAACTCAGTCATCTCCGACACCACCAAGCTGCTCAAACCCATCCTGGTGTTCGCCTTCGCCATCGCCGCGGGCGTGTGCGGCCTCACTCAGATCACGCAGTACCGCAGCCACCCCGTGGACGTCTACGCCGGATTCCTCATCGGGGCTGGCATTGCTGCCTACCTGGTGAGTGGCCGGGTAGCCACAGGCTCGGAGCAAAAGAGGGGATCCGGGATCCGGGATCCGGGAGTTAGGGGGGACCCCTGGTGTGTCTGAGGGCAGCTCCCCAGCCACCCCGCGCAGGCACTGACGTTGGCCATGTCCCCTCAGGCCTGCCATGCAGTGGGCAACTTCCAGGCTCCGCCCGCGGAGAAGTCCGCGGCTCCGGTGCCCACCAAGGACCCGCTGAGGGCGCTCACGCAGCGCGGCCACGACTCTGTGTACCAGCAGAACAAGTCGGTGAGCACCGACGAGCTGGGCCCGCCCGGGCGGCTGGAGGGGGTGCCCAGACCCGTGGCGCGCGAGAAGACGTCACTGGGCAGCCTGAAGCGCGCCAGCGTGGATGTGGACCTGCTGGCCCCCCGCAGTCCCATGGGCAAGGAAAACATGGTGACCTTCAGCAACACGCTGCCGCGCGTCAGCACACCATCCCTGGACGACCCCGCGCGCCGCCACATGACCATCCACGTGCCGCTGGACGCCTCGCGCTCCAAGCAGCTCATCAGCCAGTGGAAGCGGACGGCGCAGGAGGGGCGTGCGCTGGGGCTCGCGGACGAGGCCAGCCCGGTGCACCTGCGTGCGCCCGCCGAGCCCATGGCCGAGGAGGAGGAAGAGGAGGACGACGACGAGGAGGAGGAAGACGAGGACGAGGAGGAGGAGGAGGTGGAGGAGGACGGCGGCCCCGCGCCGCCCACGCTGTACCCCACCGTGCAGGCACGGCCCGGGCTGGGCCCGCGCGTGCTGCTCCCGGCGCGCCCGGGCCCGCAGCCCCTGGTACACATCCCGGAGGAGGCCGCACCGGTGGCGGGGGCGGGCCCGTCCCCCAAGGGCGGTGCCGCCGCCGTACGCGCCAAGTGGCTGGCGGTGGCGGCGGCAGAGAAGGGCGCAGGCGCGGCCCCACCCCCCGCCCCGACGCCGCCCCGCGCGCCCAACCCTCCGCGCCTGCTGCAGGTGATCGCCATGTCCAAGGCGCCAGGCGCCAAGGCAGCGGCCGAGACCGCGTCCTCGTCCAGTGCCAGCTCGGACTCCTCACAGTATCGCTCTCCGTCGGAGCGCGACTCGGCCAGCGTGGTCACGGTGGACGCGCACGGCCCGCATCACCCCGTGGTGCACCTGTCGGCGGCCGGGGCGCCCTGGGAGTGGCGTGCGGCCCGCGGCCCCGAGGGCGACGGTGGCTATGAGCTGGGCGACCTGGCACGCGCCTTCCGCGTCGGGACCCGGGCTCCGGGCACGTCCCCCGGTTCGTCCATCAGCGACGCGGAGCAGGAGGAGCCGCGCTTCGCGGCCGTGGCCACTGTGAATCTGGCCACGGGTGAGGGGCTGCCTCCGCCGGGCGCAGCAGACGGAGCCCTAGGTGTTGGGGGCAGCCGCGAGGCCACGCTGCGAGCCCCGGTGGGGGGCGGCCCGGGCCCCGGAGAGCGCGAGACGGCCGAGGCCGAGAGCTACTACCGCAGGATGCAGGCACGCCGCTTCCCAGACTGAGCGTGCCGGTAATAAATGCTGCTTCCTGGAACCCGGCTCCTGGGTCCTTTGTGGGGGGAAGGGGACCCCACCCTGATTCCCCATCCCCGAGGCGAGCAGAGCTGAGGTCAGTAAGGAGGAAGACGAGGCTGCAGGACATAGAAATTTATTCGGAGTCCAGGTACAGACTGGCCGGCTGCCTCGTCTACAAGTGAACAGTGAGGGGGGTACAGGGGAGGCTGCGCCGGGCGGCGGCCTGGCCAGGTCCCCCTCGGGCGAGCCCTGGGCAAGGCGCATGGAATGTGTGGCCACGGCTCACCTGTAACTGCCGTTATCAAAATATACATCTGTCACCGTAAAAAACCGCGTGCGCTGCGCTGCCCCGCACCCACAACAGGTATAAAAAAAACCACAAATATTTACACCCTTGTTACGTGCCGCAGGGAGACCCTGCCGCTGCTGGGGCGGCCAGGAGAACGGTGGGTGGGGGCGGGGGCTGAACCCCGCCGCCCGGGCCCCCCGCCTCAGAGGCAGAGAAACAGAAAGGAAACTTTGGTCCAAAAGTCGGAAGGGAGCGGAGGCGCCCTGGACAGCCCGCTCTGCTCCAGGCCAGGGGCGCCCTGTAAGGCAACTGCAGGTGGAGGGGCGGCGGGCGCCGCCAGTTCTGAGACCGGATCCTGCCTGTGACTTCAGTAATTACAAGGAATAAAATAAAAGGACAGCATACAAAGTAATAGAAGCTCGGATTACACTCATACCATGATATCTTGCTATAAAAAAGTTACTCAAAACTATTGCATATAAACGAAAAGACTAGGATATTTGGTCATTTGGGCGTTGCTAGGCACAGCTTGGGCAGCCACTGCGCGGGCAGAGATTACGCCGTGGCCCGGCAATGCGGAGAATCACTGGGCCATCACTTGATTAGGGCTGGGTGGGGGCCGAGGGCTCCACCTGCGCCGGGCACATGATCTGGCGGGAGGGAGCAGGCTGCGCGGGGCAGCGGGCAGAGCCACCCGGCCTGCATAGCCCTGGGCGGAAGGGGTTAAGGCACGGGGTGCGGGCTGTGGTCGGGGTGCCCTCCCATCGGCCCGCCCGGCCAGGGCAGCCAGATCGCCGCTACAGCCCCGGGCGCCTGAGCTGTCCCTTCACCGCAAGGTCAGCAAGGTGAACTCGATTTAATTTTTTTAAAAACAGGTAAACTGATTTCTCTTTTAAAAAAATAAAATCTCTGGTCTGTTAAGGTCACTTCAGCTGCTTTTTAAAGTGGCTTTTTCTGGAATGACGGAAGTTGGTGCCAGGACGCCCGGCCGCAGGCCTGGCCTAGATGGTGGACTTGGAGAAGGACACCCGCAGGTGGTGGTTCTCGCCCAGGTCGTGGTTGTGCAGATCGATGAGGGCCTGCACGGCCTCCTCCACTGAGCCCATCTGGATCAGGGCCATCTTGCGGTCCTTCCTGTGAGGAGGCGGGGTCAGAGGGGCAGGGGCGGGGCCTGGGCAGGCAGGGGAGGGGCTTGGGCAGGCAAGGGCGGGGCCTGGTACTCACTGGAAGAACTTGAAGCCCTTGACAACGCCACCATTGCTGGAGAAGAGGCTCTTGAGGTCTTCCTCTGATATCGAGGGCCTGCGGGGAGCAGGGCACTCAGCGCACAGGGCCTCCGATGCCCTAACCCTAAGGCTCTTTGCACACCCAGCCAGGAGCCGGGGGCCGCTCACTGTGCGCTGGGGCAGGCAGAGGCAGAGGCAGGGTGCGGGGTGCCCCAGCCACAGCCACTCACGGGATGTTGGAGAGGTGCAGTGTGGCCGAGGGCGGGAAGATGTTCTGGAAGTTCTTGGAGCCGGGCTTCTTGAAGCGGTGCAGCGGCGAGTTGCCGTAGTCCTTGGTCAGGCCCTGGTCCTCCTGGCCCTCACGCGGCAGCTGCACGTTCTGATGCTTGGACAGCGTGATGCGGATGGGCTTCCCGTGCAGCTTGTGCCCGTTCAGGTGGCTCATGGCTGCGGGGAAGGAGGGCGTCACGGCGATGGGGCTGGGGTTGGGGTTGAGGTTGGGGTTGGGGCTCTGGGTGGGGCCCCACCGGCTGGCCCTTACCCAGCTGGGCCTGGCTCCCGTCCGCCATCTGCACCAGCGCGTTCTCCTTCTTGTTGAACAGGATCTTCACCCGCTGCACGTCACCATAGACTCCTTCAAAAGCCCAGCGGGGACAGGGCTGAGCGGTGGCCGGCACCCGGCTCCCACCCCGGCCCCCCGCTCCGCTCGGCCTGCCCAACTTTGCTTATTCCGTCCGGGGCCATGACCGAAGCCCTCGGCCGGCAGCCCCGGCGGAGACTGGAGCGCGCCCGCCACGCCACGCGGCCCGGGAGCAGCATGCGGGGCAGTGACCCATGCGCGTCTGCGGGGGGGCAGGGCCGCACCCCGCACACCGAAGCGAACCACATACAGCCGAATGGCAAACTCCGAACTCATAGTACAAGCCAGGGCTTCAACATAATCTCAATTCAACGAAAACCAAGTAATAAAAGTGTGAATAACATACCGAAAAGAATAAAGAGGCTTTGGGGTGTGACTCTCTTTAGAGGACAGCAGAGCAAGGCAGCGGAGGGACAGGGGAGAGGGAGAGCGGGGGGACGAGGTGCCATCGTCCACCCCGAGGAAGACAGTCCCGCAGGCGTGCAGCGGTTGATGGACGATGAAGTTGTCAGGATGTTAATTTCAAGGGCAGGTTGGTTTCCGGAGAGCAGGGTTTGAGGGGGAATTTTTGTTTTTATTTATTTATGTTTTGTTTGTTTCAAGCAACAACAGGAAGCAGAAGAACCGTGCAGTCAGTTGGCAAAGAAATTCCGGATCAGGGCAAGAAAACAAAATTGGGAAAGGGGAAGGGGAGAAAAGAAAAAGTAGCAAAAAACACAGGTCAGTAAATCCGAAGGAGACAGGCGGCACCAGTCACACGCACTTTCGCTCGCTCACTGGTGGCCAGGCCCAGGGGCAGACTGGCCGTCTCTCCCCACCGCCTCCGCCCGGCAAGGGCCCGGCCTGGCCACAGCAGCCCCTGCTCAGGGTGGCCTTCCGGCCCGTGCGCAACAGACCGACCCCCGGGAGCCCGGCTGCTCACGGGCCACCGCCCTGCACTGTGCCAGCAGAGACGCAACCCTGGAGCTGCCGATCCGACGCAGGGAGGAGACGGAGCCCGAGCCCAGCAAAGGGGCGACCACGAGCGGCCCCCTGCCCTCTGCCCTCCGCCCCTCGGCCGCCTACCTCAGGGTTCAGGTTGCTGACCAGCAGGACTGAGTTCCCGGCCCCCGCCAGGCCTGGGATGCCGATGCGGCCAGCTGCTGCAGCCGCTGCTGCCGCCGAAGGGATGGCCAGGGGCGCCAGCGCTCCGTGCACATTGGGGACAGACAGGCCTGGGGGAGGGAAGAAGGCGAGGTGAGCCATGGTGGGTGACACTGCCCACGACCCTATCATGCACGCGGGGCACGGCCACCTGCAGGCCAGGGCCAGGTGCCCGGGCCTCCTGCTGGCCCCAAGGTGCTAGCTGGGGCATGCCCTTCCTTCCTTCCTTCCTTCCTTCTTTCCTTCCTTCCTTTCTTTCCTTTTGCATGCGGCAAACAGCACGAAGCTCTGTTTGCAGGTGGGCGGGTGGGTGCCGCGCCCTTGGCAGGCAGGCAGGCAGGCTGCGGGCGGGCTGGGGTGGGCATGCGCCACCCGCATGCACGCGGCTCCAGGCCGCCGGAGGCCCAGCGCATGCGCCTCCGCTCCGCTCCGCGGCGGCCGCTCGCTTACCCGGCCCCGCACTCAAGCTAGGGGGCCGCAGCCCACCACGCCGCATCCTCGTCCTCGCCCTCGCCCGGCACTTGAAGGGAACCAGACCAGAGACCGCGCGTTGGCGCCGCGCCTGCCCTGCCTGCCGCCTGCCCGGCCGCCGTGCGCTCATCCGCGGGCATGCAGGCCTGGGGCCGTGAGTGCGGTACCTGCGGCTTGAGGGATGGCAAAGGTGGGAGGGAACCCCGCTCCTGCATACGGAGAGGCCGAGATTATACCCGGTGCACCTGGAAACAAACGAGACACTAACCATCGCACCCGCCGGCGGGCGGCGGGCGGGGGCGTGCGGGCGTGCGAGGGGCGCTGTGGGCGGCGGGCCTGGGCGCTGCCTACCTAGCCTGTCCCCTCCCGCCCCCTGCCCGGTGCAGCAGGGACGCGTACCGAAGGCTGCCGCCATGGTCTGGTCCAGCGAGGGCTGGCTGTCGCCCGAGGGCAGGTCAGGGCGTGTGTAGTCGCGACTCTTGTCGTTATTGTACTTCACGTTGAGGCTGGTGAGCTTGGAGAAATCGATGCGCAGCGTGCAGCAGGCGTTGTAGATGTTCTGCCCGTCCAGGGACTGCGGGGTGGGGCAGCAGCTCAGCAGGCTGGGCTTAGGGCTGGGTTTAGGGTCAGCGCCCCACCCGGCAGCGCCCCACTCACCAGCTTGGCGTGCTGTGCGCTCACGGGGTCCGCGTACTGCAGCAGCGCCTGGAACTGGCTGTTCTTGGTGAAGGTGATGATCTTCAGGACGGTGCCAAACTTGGAAAAGATCTGTGGGCCAGGGGACGTGTGGCCATGAGCGGGAGGACACCCCGTGACCCCATAACCCAACCCACCCTGCCCGCGGCCCCACCTGGTGCAGCACGTCGAGCGTGACCGGGTAGAAGAGGTTCTCCACGATGATGCGCAGCACCGGGCTCTGCCCTGCCATGGCCAGACCCGCGTCCACAGCGGCCGCCGACGCCGCCAGGGCCAGGTTTCCCGACTGCACGGAGTTCACGGCCTGCAGCGCCGCCTGGGCCCGCTGCGGGGAGCGGGGGCAGGGAGGGAGGCGCCGCTGTGAGCCCAGCCAAAACAGGGCAACACAGGGCACCCCAGTGCAGCCCGCCCGCCCACCGGGGCACGCACTGCCTGGTTCGGGGAGCTGTCGGTCTTGAGCTCCTTGTGGTTGGAGAACTGGATGTAGATGGGCTGGCCGCGCAGCACGGGCGGCACGGATGTGTAGTAGTTCACCATGGTGTTGGCTGCCTCCTCCGTGTTCATCTCGATGAAGGCCTGGTTCTTGCCCTTAAGCATGAGCAAGTTGGTGACCTTCCCGAAGGGCAGCCCCAGGGAGATCACCTCGCCCTCTGTCACGTCGCCAGGCAGCTTGCGGATGTGGATCACTCTGGAGGGGACGCCCGTGCTCCTATTGTCACCTTTGAACTTCTTGCTGTCATTTCCGTTTGCTGTAAAAAGGGTGGTGGGCTTACCACCAGTCCTCAGGCCTCCTGTCTGCCCTCCACCCCTGGGTGGCACCTGGGGACCCAGGGCCCGAAGTCCAGCAGCCGGGGCCACCGCTTCATACACACCGCCCCACGCCCCCCTGCCTGTCCAGGCTCTGGGAATGCCCTGGCAAGAGACCACAGAGGCCAGGAGGGTTTCCGGTGGGGTGCAGGACTACCTGCAGAGGCAGAGTTGCTGCTCATGATAAAGGGGCCGTTGGTGACACACGTAGAGAAGAGCTCGTCAGATCCCCGCTGCAAGAGAAAGAGGGACTTGCCCTGTACCACTGGCCACCATAGCTAGCGACAGCACAGCCACCTGAGCCCCCACCCTGTGCAGCCCGCCATCCTCGGTGCCTCAAGCTTTAGCAGGGCTTGTGGATCGAGATCCCCATCACAGGGGGCCATCAGCTCCAAAGCCTCAGCCCAGGAGCCTGCTGCCCTCCTTCCCAGCTGCTGCGGAAACCTGAGCTTCCCGAGCGAGAAGCTACCCCTGTGCTGGGTGCTGACAGGCCACTCCTCAGGAAGGCAGGTACCCCCAACCCAGCAAAACATGGCATGAGAACTAAGAGGCAGTTCTTGGTCACCTGGGTAACAAGCACTGGGGCCCAGGATCTCGGCCTGACTGCTATCACTGCTGCCTCAGACCCCCAAGGTTGACGGGCCCCAGGTACCCACTGCACCCTACCCCGCAGCAGCCCCAGGACACAGCCTTGCACTCAGCTCCTCCCTGACCCGCCTTTCAGGTGGCTGTATTTCCAAAGGCCACCTCCCACCCACTGAAATGCTGCCCACCTCATACCCAGGTCTGCAGACCAGGTGACACCAAGGAGGTCACCTGACAGCCCGACCTCCCACAGCTGAAACAGTCCTGCAGTCCTCCAAGGGTCCAGGCCCGGCATGAGGCCAGGAACTGTTAAGGCCTGTGGGGTCTCCGTGGCTCTGGGCACAGCTTAAGGCTGAGCTCCACAGGGACACACACACACACCGCCACCCCCAAGGGCAGGCACCAGGCACCAGGGCAGCCCCCTTCACTCCCCCTAACCTTACAGGGGCATTTTGGCTTCCGCCTGGGCGCAGTGTGGGCAGGGCCACGCTTCCTGGCAGTGAGCTCTTGGCACCTGCCCGAGCCCTAACAGCCAGGCCCTGGGCAGAGCCAGCACGCCCACACCCGTCTGCAGGGAGCCCCGGGCCCATTCAGCCCCAGCCTGAGCCTGCAGAGCAGCACCCTGGGCACAGCTGCTGGTCCCAGCAGACAGGGCCCTCTGCACACTGTTGAGTGCATCATGGAAGAGCCTGGCGTGTGGGAGCTGACAGCTAACGCCCCTAGGCAACTCCCCCTTCGAATCCCCTCAGCCTTGGGCAAAGACCAGGGGTTAGCGGAGCCTGTGCCATCCTGGTCCAAGAGGGGTGGGTGAGCCTGGGGAACCAGGGCCAGAGGCAGAAGCCCAGCAGGCTCCACCACCCAGGACTGCAGATGAAAGCCCCACTCCCTCCTCCTACCTCTGAACAAACAGGTTTATCTGCAGGAGGATCTGCAGGCTTGGGCAGACAGCAGCCCAGCAGGGAAAAACTGAAACCAGGTCTGGGGAACACCAGACTGTCTAGAAGCCAGCTGGCTGCTGTGTAGGACACCCCCCCCCAGCTATGACCCAGCAGGGAGGCCGGTACTGGGCCCACGCAGGCTGTGACCAGTTGGCACAGGAGGGCAGCGTACGTAGGACTAGGTGGGGGCTTCCCCCAGGGCAGGCGGTCCAACTCCAGCCTCGAGGGCTGCCAGCACCAGCCAGACAAAGAGACCTAAGCCCATGGTCCCAGCTTCGAGGCCTGGGCAGCACCAGGAAATCCTGTCTCAAAAAGGAAAAGCCCTTCTTCCACCTCCGCGTACCTCAAAACATGAGCCAAGACTCACGTGGGAGAATGATCACACGGGCTTCAGAAACCACTCTTCTGAAGCACCTGCCCTTAGGGTTAGGGTTACGGGGACACCTTCCAGCAAGGCCACCTGAGGGCCTGGATCCCACTGGGCCCCAGCTTCCTCCACAGTCCGAGGGTGCTTTACTTTTTGAGACAGTGTTTCATTATGTTGTAAGCCAGGCTGGCCTGCACTACTGCCTCAGCCTCCCTGATGCCAAGCTCACAGGTGTCTCCCCCCCCCCCCAGCTTTCTTTTTGGAGGCTCATCTGAATTCCAGACCTGCAGACCACAGGACCACAGAGGGGACTGTGCACTGCACAGAGACCTGCACTGAGGGGTGGCCAGCAACCCCACCTGTTCCACCCCACATCCCACCTGGAGCCCCAGCGCCTGGACGGACTCACAGGTATGCTGCCAAGAGCCCCTGGAGAGCAAAGCAGCCCAGGCCAGTGAGAGTCTGGGCCTGAAAGGTGCAGGAGACCCAGTGTCACCGTGCACTTCCTCAGGCCAGCAGAGGCCGTGAATCTAGGGATCAACTCAGCAGCACAAACCAAGCAGTGTAAAAAGCAGCGACGTGAAAAATGCCTACCTTTGTACCAACTGCTATGTCTGGGACGATGCTGTGGAGAGAAATGAAGAAGCGTCAGCAACGTATAGGGAGCAGCCCGGAGGCGGGCTTGGGCTCTCGGCCCATGGCCAGCTCGGGCGCTTGCTCGGCAGGCCAGCGAAGTGAGCCATCCAATTCATCTCAACTTGAGAAGGGGCCACCATTGTCTGCGAGCACCCCTGCCTCCCAGCAGGACCCCAGGCTCCGCCTCTGGAGGCTTCAAAGATCCCAAACAGAGTCACACCCTCGATGGCAATCTGTGAAACTGTAAGTGCCCGGGAAAGACCGACAAGCAGGCAGGAGTCTACCGACCCTGAGATCAGAGCTTCCAGACGGGCGCAGAAGCTCCCGCGGAACCGGGTACTGCCGGAGCGGTGGTTAACATTAACGAGAGGCACAGGCGGGCCAGGATACGGCCCGAGTTACTAATCAACCCCGGCTGCACGTGACTGGACTTTCTCCCCTCCTGGGGAAGCCAGAGGAGACACGAACCCTTCACCTCCACCTCGGACCCGCGCTTTTCATAGCAAAACCCGCCGGAGACCTCGACGTGGTAGACGCCGCTGGCCAGGTCCTATGTGACTCACGGTCGTCTGCCTGAGTAGGGGCCTTAGTCAGCGGTGGGCCCAGGCTCTGCCCGGGAGCTGGGCTCTCCATACACCACCGAAGCCGCGATCGCAGGCGCCGGGCCGCGTGGATCCCGCACCCCGTGCGCAGCCCTGCCGCTCCCGAACCCGAAGGCCTCAAGCCCACAACAAACAAAGCAACAACAACAACAAAAAGACTCAAAAAATCACTAGTTCAACACACTCCAGAAGCACTGACTCAAGGAAAAAGTCTCCCAGAAACCACACTGGACCGCCAAGTAACTCCGGGGCGTCGGACATAGTGCCCCGCAAAGTCCCAGAAACAGCGGCTTCGCCCACCAGCCCAGGAGGCCGCACCTGGACTGGATTGCTCACACGCGGGCTCGACGCGGTCAGCCCCGAGGCCATCCCTTCCGGGCGCGGGCGGCGCGCTCCCCAACGTCCCGGGAGGAGAAAGGGCCGACCCTAGCCCAGATCTTGCGCGACTTCAAATCCTGGACCCCACTCCCGCAACGTCCGGCCTGGACCCGGGTGGGGTCCGCGAGCAAAGCCCGCGCGGCGGGAAAGGCGCGCGTACCCGCGGCAAGACGCGCACGCGCACGGGACACTAGTAGAACTACGCACGCGCGCGCGCTCGACTCCGGACCGGGCGCGCGGAAAAGGGCGCATGCGTATAGGGTGGACGGGAAGCGGGAAGGGCCTCGCAATGCCGTAGAGAATCGAACAAGAAAAGTTGGGACTGTGCAAGGAGATGCGGGAGGGCGTGTTGGGCAGCGTACGCTAAGCTTAGGAGTGGAAAAGTAGAGGGCTGAAACGCGCCGGGTGGGGAAGGCGGAAATGGGCGCGGAACAAGGGCGCGGCTCCTCCGGCCCGGGGCTCCCGCAGACGCCACGCGGACAGGAGGCCCAACGCGCGCAACGGCCCTGGCGACGGGGGTGGTGGCGGCAGGGCAGACGCCAGGGCAGCCTAGGCAACACTGCAACGCGGAAGGGGTAACGAGTGCGGGGCAACTCACCCGTCCATGGCACAGAGAGCAGACCCGCGGGGGAAGGAGTGGAGGCGCCGGAATAGCAGGAACCGACTCAACGGCTCCGAGTTATAGACTCACAAGATGGCGGAGACGCCCGCACACGTCCCCCGCGCGCGCTGCCCATTGGCTCCAGCCTTGGTCGGGGGCGGAGCTAGTTATGCGACCCTCCTCCAGGACCTATCAATTGCCTAGGGGCCGCTACTGAGGTGGAGTCAAAGAGGAGAACCCGCGCCTATTGGAGGGAGCGGTTATCCGTCATGGCGGAGGGCGACAACGGCCTGTGAGGTAGGGAGAGGTTGCGAAACCCATGTGAGCACGTGATGGCATGTAAGCCAATGAGCGAGCCGCCGTCCGGCGTGGGACTTTTGAGGGGGAAGCCATCTTGAGAGTGGGTACGTGGCGAGTCAGGCGGATACAAGCATGCTTGCCCTCCGGCTGCCGCCATCTTGCAAGCGGGCAGGGGTCGTCCACCTGCGGCATGAGCTGTGTTGCCATCTTGAAATAGGGCAAGAAACATGCCGCGCTCCATCTTGTTTGTGGGCATGTAGCCAAAACATCGGATTCAAAGTGAGCCTTTGCTCCTGAATTAGTGCCTGGGGAAATGGAGGTCACAGCGATGCGTGCTAAGATCCCGGGTCACTCCAGAACCTCCTTGGACCACTCCGGCGCAGCTGAGCCCGACTGCTAGTACAGAGGTGGGGAAATAGAGGCTCGGAGCATAAGGCGAATGCTTTCTCTCCCTGCGGATGGGAAAACTCAGCCCCCAGCTACGGAGGGAATGATGGCCGCTTATACAGATGGGGAAACTGAGGCTCAGGCACAGAGTGGACAGGAGCGGAATCACACACTCGGAAACCGAGCACGGTGGCACACACCTGTGATCTTAGCACTTGGGAAGCTGAGGCAGGAAGGTCACTACCAGCCGGGCCAATCTAGTGAGTTAAAGATTAGCCCAACTGAAAGATACCTCCTCAGAAAGTTGAAAATAAAAGGATCGCACACTCTCCAGGCTCTGTCCAGTGGGGTACCCACCACCAGTGTTCCTAGACCCTAATCTGTTGCTGGCCGCAGAAGGAGGCATTGGGCCTGTGAGTATACGCTCAGTAAACAGGGGAAATTATCTGGATTCTTGCATCTCTGCTGGAAAAGGCATTGCAACCGCCCCAGCACAGACAGGAAAGGCCAGGTCTGCTTTCCCCACGGGGTGAGGCCAGGCTGCCCTGGAGTCCTGGCGGGGGCCCAGCAGCCTCGGGTTCCCAGCAGGCCTGGTGCCAGGGATTCCAGCCGGGATTAGGGGCGGCTGCCGAGTTTTACGAGTGTTACGAGAGTCCAGTGGCTCAGCCAGCCAGCAGGCCGGCCAAGGCCCGCTAATCAGGAATGTCCTGGTGGATTTAGGAAAAGCCTAGTGCAAGCCTACGGATTTGCACAGCCAGGGATGCTTGTCCTCGGCCCCCCGCAGCGGGTGATGAGGGAGGGATCAAAGGTGGGAGCCCACAGACTGGGCCAGGGCACCTCAGGTGGCCACCGAGGCTGCCAGGTGCTGCGTACAGGCCTAAACCCACCTCCGATTGCTAAATGGCACAGCTGCCTCAGCCTCCGGGGTGCTGAGACTGCTACCTTGCTTGGTCTCCAGTTACCTTTGCAGCCAGGCTGACTACCCGTGCATAGCTGTTCCTTCTAGAAAGTTCTTCTTAGAACCTGTCCCACAGCTCTGCATGTCCGTCCCCCCTGGGAAATCCCTCCTTGCCCCTGTCAGTGGTCTTCCTGCTGGAGGCCAAGCTGGGAGGTCACAGCCGCTGAAAGCCTTTCCCAAGGGAGGCGGCCTGCACCAAAGTTCTGCCTGTCCCAGACAGATTCCAGAGGACCAGGATGAGCAGGGGGCGTCCACGGGCCAGCTAGGCACCCTCATCCAAAGCAGGATTAAGACAGAGCTCTGAGACTCTTGTACCTGGCGTGGTGGTGCACACCTGTAATCTTCGCTGGGGAGGAGGCTGAGGCAGGAGGATCCCTATCAAAGTGAGCCCAGACTGATCCACATAGTGAGACCCTGTGGCAAAATAAGTCAGGCCAGCCCCAGCTGGCCTGGGCCCAGCTGGCCTTCTGGTTCGGGGAGCCCGGCTGGAAACGGTGCGGGAGGAAGCCCGCAGGCGCCAGCACCTGAGCCGGCAGCAGGTAAGGCCCCTTTGTCTCCGGCTGGCCCGCCCGCCAGCTGCTCCTTCATTCATGATTCAGAGCAGCGCAGAGCCCACCCTGCCTTTGTGTGAGCGGCACATTGGCGGCCCTGTCCTGAGGAAAACCGATCCTCCAGATACTGTGGCCCTGAGTGGGGGTGACGGCAGAGGCTCCCAACCCGGCCTCCGCTTCTCTGCAGGTCTGACCGGGGAGTCGAGGACCGCACCCCAGTTTACCCCTCTGTCACAATTCTAGTGGAGCCAGAGCTGGGGATTTCCTGGGATTTACACATTAAAAGGGCTTCGTCCGTTTAGAATTGTGGATGTGACTGCCCTCCCTCCTTCCATTTTCTTCCTTTGTGAGACAGGGTCTCACTATGCAGTTCAGGCTGGCCTCAAAGCTTGGAAATCCTCCAGCCTCAGCCTCCCGAGTGCTGGGATTAGAGACACACTCAGCCCTCTCCCCACCCCCCTCTCGCACAGGCTGAGGAGGTTACAAAGTGAGGCTGTGGCCCCTACTGAGTCCCTTGGTTAAACTTCCAAAGTCGCAGGTTGACCCAGTGAGCATCATGGCTGAGGTATTAAACTCCTCAAGTTGACACTCCTCAAGTATCAGCCAGAGAAGGCTGGGTCCCCGAGGGCTCCCTGGAGGCTGAGGCAGAGGCTTGTGGGGAGGGGGCAGCTTGGGCTGCATGGCGAGTCCAAGGCCGGCTGCCTCAGGCAGCAAGACCCGTGCTCAAAGCGGAATACCAGTCAGTCAGTCAGACAGGGTGGGCTCAGCGCTCTCATCCTGGACGGGACCTCCCTTCAGCAGGGACCTGGGGAGAGCTGGAGGGCGGGGCAGCGAGCGGGGGTCCCAGCCGGGTCCAGCTCCCTGCAGCTGTGCTCCTGCCCCCGCTCACCTCCAGGATTAGAAGGGAGACCCAGGCGTGACGGTGCTCGCCTGTCCTCCCTGGACTGGAAGGCTGAGGCAGGAGGATTTCAAGTTTGAGCCCAGCCTGGGTGATTTGGTAATCCACTGTCTCAAAATTTAAAAAAGAAAACAAATAGCCACTGGGGATGTCGTTTAGTGTGAAAGTCCTGGGTTAGCAGAAAAGCACAAAACCTTGGATCAGAGTGTTTTAAAAAAAAAAAGGGAAGAAGGAGCCAGGCGTGGTGGTGCACGCCTGTCATCCCAGCACTCGGGAGGCTGAGGCAGGAGGATCTTTGCAAGTTCAAGACTAGCCTGGGCTACAAAGTGAGCTCAAGGCCGGCCTGAACTGCATAGCCAGACCCTGTCTCAAAAAGACAAAAAAAGGGTGTGGGGCTGGCCTTAAATTCACAGAGATCATCTTGCCTCAGCCTCCAGAGTGCTGGGATTACAGATATACACCGCTACACCTGGCTTTATTTTTTTACTTTGAGATATGCTCTCACTACATTGCTAAACTGCCCAAGCTGGGGCTGGGGATTTAGCTCAGCGGCGTAAGTGCCTGCCTGGCAAGCACGCAGTCTCGAGTTCGATCGCCAGTACCAAAAGAAAACAAAATACAAAATACATTGTCCAAGCTGTGCTGGAATTGGAGAACGTCCTGCCTCAGCCACCCAGCAAGCTGGAGTGACAGGTGTCACCCACGACCAGTTGTCTGGGCCTGTCCCTAAATTCCCTGAGTCCCCCCCCCCAGTCTTTCTCCTGCCCTAGGACCCTAGGTGACAGGACTGCCCAATCCCCTCAGGGCAGAGACCAATCCCAGACACCAGGCTCTGCCTCCTGCAGTGGGGAATCAGAACCCCAGCTGAGGTCCAGGCTGCCCCTCCCCAGTCCTGTGCCGCCTCTATCAGGCTCGGCCTGAGGTTTGGGGTACAGGAAAAGGACACTAGAAGTGACAGCTCTGTCCACGGCCATCAAGGCACTGCAGTCCTGGGCCCGGGACCCCTCTCCCTGCGCCTGGCAAGGTCAAGCTTGTGAATTCCATTCCCAGTTTAAAAAAAAAAAAGTTGGGGCTGGGGATTTAGCTCAGCGGCATAAGCACCTGCCTTACAAGCAGGCGGTTGTGAGTTCAATCCCCGGTACCGATAAAAATGAAAAAGACAATAAATAAATCAATAAATAAAATTTTAAAAAAGTTGCTCTGGGGAGGCTGAGGCAGGAGGATTGTTGCAAGTTCCAGACCAGCCTGGGCTACAAAGTGAGCTCAAGGTCAGCCTGGACTGTACATCTAGAGCCTGTCTCAAAAGACAAAAAGATCTGAGAATATAGCTTAGTATAAAAGCCCTGAAAAACATTTTTAAGAAGTCCCAGCTGCATGGGTCGGCAGGCCGCTCCGGACTGTGAGGTGATCGGCTTGTGTTGGGCTCAGCCACCCTG